GAATTTTTCTGGTTATCTTTTTTTTTTTCCTTATGATTTTTCTTATCTGGATACCAAAATACTTGATTGGCTTTTATATGGAACAGTTGACACATTGAATTATACTAGATTGAGAAAGCTGGCAAAGTCATGCAATTGCTTAAGCTTAGTTTTAGGGCATTTCTTAGTTAGACATTATGTTGAATACAAGTTGTTTTCATAAGGTAGATAAAGTCCCATGTGTGAGGCTCCTATAGCAAGAGTGATTTCATATGGGCACTGTGCGTGATGCATAAAATTGCAATTAAAAATATGATTGTTGAAGAAACTAAGCAATAGAAAGAGAAACTGGACTAGGATATCTCTGGCTACAATACTTACATGTTTGTTTCACAATTACCATATGACGGCCAGATATAATTCATATGAATGTATGTATGTATTTAATACAATCATCACCGTTGAGATGGTGATTGTATTAAATACATGCAAGTATTGTAGCCAAATCCATTAGTTTACGATTAATTATGTTCATTCACTCTATTTACTATATGGTTTTCCACTTTTGTGATCTATTATGCATGCTAATATGGATGGCCCTTGCTATTTTGTTTGGATGTACAGTGAGATTACTCCTGAAGGAAGACGTATAACCAAGCTTGATCAGATTTTACTCAACGGAAACAATATTGCCATTGTAAGTAAAACATGGGTGGTCTTTATTTTGCCTGGATGAAATAATTGAATTTCCAGCGAATATGCATGTGATTGTTAGGTTTTATTTGTCAAGTATAGTACTGCACTTTTTGTGGCCTTTTTCTTTGCTCGCCTTATATATGACAACTTAATCTTTTAAACTACTTGTACAAGCTTATGGCATCTACTTCTTGGCCTTTTTGATAGAAGCTAGACCAGCATAAAACAGAGATGAACGATGTTCAAAGTTTTGTAATAAATTGTCTAATGGTTTGTGCACAATGCAGCTGGTCCCTGGCGGCTCACCTGAAGTGGAATGAGAGGGTAATCAGCCACTCTGCTATTGAAATATTTAAACTACATGTGGTTCGGGGGAGATCGTTTCTCTTTGTTTTCTCCACCCGGCCCTCTTGTTAGTAGGAAGCGACGTGGTTCTAGGACATGTTAAGGATATGGTGTATTATGTTTCTTCTAATTAGGAGTTGTGTGTGTTGATTTTTCAAATACAATGAACAACAGGCTGATCTTTATTATTGTTCCCAAATGTAATGGAAGTTAAGAGTTTCTGTTGCTGACCCAATTTGTGCAGTTTTCTGATAATTTCATGTCTTTCGGTTTTTGTGTGTGGAAATCACAAGAGCCAATAGCAGTATAGACTCCTTCCTGCCACTTTGGCGGCCGCTGTGGCCAGCCACCGGTCATGACACTCACGCCACCTAAAAAATTAAAAAAACTAAAAGCAAAAGTTTCGATACGTAGCCGGTTTCTGTTTTCTATGTGACCGAAAGAGGTGAAGAATAAAAAATTGATGTTTAAAATGAGAAAGTCGTGGAAAGGCTGGCATGGGTTTTGCCAAATGGAATCGAACGAAAGCGACAGTCAATAATTTTTGCTTGTTCTGTACGCAAGAGAAAATAAATAACTTTTTAGTTAATGAGAGTGAAATAGTTTATAGTAGTGGAGAAACTTTTACATGTATTGGAAATATTACTGAATATATCATTTCACGTGTTATCTTATGAGTATTGAGTTGTTAAAGTTTAGGTAATACTTTTAGAGTGAATTTCAAATGTATAATTTAGGCTATCATAAAAAATCGCAGCAATTCTCCAACTTTGAGAAGTAGTTCCTTTAGAATTAATGAACAACAACCATTACTTAGGTATAATGTTAAACATATACATAATACATGTATTATAATTTAAATAGAAAAATAACACGACGTTGCGGCATTACAGACACACCTATTTGAATTTACTACACGTATGTCGGTTTGTTGACGTTCTAATCTTAATTTTCTAATGTCAAATATTTGCCTGTCAATTCACTTTCCAAAAATTGGATTTTGTGGTTCTCTTGGTATTATTGATCCTTGGAACATCAAACAACCAATTCTCAAGTTATTACAATCAATATTACCACAATAGTGAAAATAAATTTATACCTTTCTTATTATTGAAAATAGACTTATACTTCTCTAATTATTGAAAATATATTTATACCTTTTTTTCATTATTGAAAACGATTGGATCCTCTTTGTAAGTGTGAATTTAGTTAAAAAAACGAAAATAAATTGTCAAGCTCTCGTCCAGTGTTATTGTCACACATCCCAGTCCGAGCCCCCACCAACATCTCGGGCTCAACTCCCACTAGTAGAAAAAAACACTTTTGCGCGACGAAAACTTGCGTGACGCAGCAAAATTAGTCGCGCAAAGTGTGTTTGCGCGACGCGAAACACAAAACGTCGCGCAAACGGCTTTTGTGCGATGGCACTTTGCGCGACGAAGACCTATGTCGCGCAAACCAGTTTTGCGCGACGTAGGTCTTCTTCGTCGCGCAAAGTTCCGTCGCGCAAAAGCCGTTTGCGCGACGTTTTGTGCGTCCCGCAAGATTTTGGCGCCAACCCAAGTTGGTTTGCCACATTTTTCGTTGACTTTGCACGACGCAGGTCCACCTACGTCACGCAAAACAGCTTTGCGTGACGCATGTTTACCAGTGTAGCGCAAAGTCAACGACTTTTTTTCCATATTTTAATCAGTTTGGGAGGTAGAAACTGCAAACTAGTTGCAGCAGCTACCTCCCTCCCCCATATCTCTTCAAAACCTTCTCCAATTCTCTCCCTTCCTCAATCTTTTTCTATCCGGTAAGCAATTTGATTTTGTATATGTAACTTTGAATTGAGAATTCAAACTAAAACTACTAAATTTGTTTTGTACAGGATTTTTGTATACAATTATCATTGAAGAACGAATTTGAAGGTATTTTCTTCATTTAAGAACGAGGCAGTGTTGGTTGCCAAGCTTCAACACAGAAATCTTGTCAGGCTTTTAGGTTTTTGCTTGGAAAGAGAAGAAACCTTACTTGTTTATGAATATGTGCCTAACAAAAGCCTTGATTATTTTCTGTTTGGTATGTGAACATCATTTGATGAGTATACATATATGTTTGTGTCAGTATATATAATTCTTTGTAGTTCCTAACTACAAAAAGTACTACTTGAACTTGATAAATTTACAGAACATAAAAAACGAGAACAACTAGATTGGTTGAGCTGCACCATGATAATTGGAGGAATTGCTTGAGAAATTTTTTATCTTCATGAAGATTCGAGGCTTAGAGTTATACATCGTGATTTGAAAGCTAGCAACATTTTATTAGACATCAACATGCATCCGAAAATATCAGATTTTGGGATGGCTAGAATGTTTGGAGTTGATGATCAAACTGAAGGAAATACCAAAAGAATTGTTGGCACTTAGTAAGTTTCAACTTATACAAATACCTCTATGAAAAGAAATTAAGAGTACTAACTTACATGGTTGAAATAACCAACGTGCACAAGGTATACTACTTAAGTTGTACACGGTTATTTATAGGCGAAAGTGAGGATTTGAGGATTCAATTACTTTCTATTTTTCTTATGTAATCATCAAGTAATTGAAGTAGGACTGATTTGTTGTTGACCAATTCAACTTGGCTATCTTTTTCTTTTGAGTTTTGGTTCACCTTTTTGAGTTTTTTAAAATATAACTTTGCGCGAGGCTAGAGTGGGCCAATGCGTCACACAAAGACTGTTTGAGTTTTTTCTTTTTTTTGTTAGGACATCTTGTATGTACATTTTCATATAGCTTATAATTAAATATTTTTTCTCGGTTTATTATTTATTGTTTAGAATTTAATTACAATATTTATTAAAAATTAAATCAAAAATAGTTTTGTAAAAAATAAAAAAAAAACGTTTGTGTGACGTATATACGTCGCGCAAAGAGATCTTGCGTGACGTTAGGCATGCGCGTCGCGCAATCAAACTTTGCATGACTTATGTACATCGCGCAAAGAGACCTTGCGTGACGTTAGGAATGTGCGTCGCGCAATCAAACTTTGCGTGACGTAGGCACATCTTTGCGTGACGTATGTGCGTCGCGCAAAGAGACTTTATGTGACATTAGGAATGTGCGTCGCACAATCAAACTTAAAGTTTATTTATACTTTCATTAAGTATAACATAAGATTTTGTGGTATCCACTTGTGTTAATACTTTAAATTGACGATCGAATTAGTTCATTGTATTCATATAGGATCCAGGAGTGTAGCTGTAAAAAATCATCAAAATCGGAGTTAAAACTACCGTTAAATCGTGATTTTTCCTTTATAACCGTCGAAATTTTTTGTCCCGTTACTTAATCTCTGCATGTTTGTTTTTTGCCATTTTTGGCGTATGCGATCTCGAAGCATATACAAAAAAGTTTGACGGTTGGATCGTTCAAATTAGTTTCGTACAATGCGTTTCCCATCAAAACGATAGATTCACTAACACTTAGAGTTTATTTATACTTTCATTAAGTATAACATAAGATTTTTGTGGTATCCACTTGTATTACTACTTTAAATTGATGATCGAATTAGTTCATTGTATTCATATAGGATCCAGGAGTGTAGCTGTAAAAAATCATCAAAATCGGAGTTAAAATTATCGTTAAATCGTAATTTTTCCTTTATAACCGTCGAAATTTTTTGTCCCGTTACTTGATCTCTGCATATTTGTTTTTTGCCATTTTTGGCGTATGCGATCTCGAAGCATATACAAACAAGTTTGACGGTTGGATGCTGAAGAGTGATGGACTTGGCGTATGCGATAAATTTTTTAATAATTTTCTTAAAAAAACAAATTACTTTGCGCGACGCTTTAATGTAATCGTCGCTCAAAACCACTTTGCACGACGTCAAATTGTATACCCACGTCGCGCCAGTTGAAAATTTTGGAGGTAAATAGTGAAAGTTAGGCGCTTTTTTTTTTTTCAATTTTCTAATTTTGTGAACCTTGAACCCGTTCACCTCTTTCTTTCCAGTTGAAAACCTTGAACCCTTCCATCTTTACCGTATTCATCTCTCTTCCAGTAGACGCATATCCTCTTCCCATAGTCCTCATCTCCTCTATCTTTCCCTCTGGCTCCATCTTTCCCGTTTGGGAACCCTGTTGACTTCATCTCCTCTATCTTTCCCGTATCTCCCATTCCCATAGTCCTCATCTCCTCTATCTCTCCTCTTCGCAACCTTGATCCCCAAATCTTGAACCCAGACCTGTCTTCCCTCACTCTTTCCCGTATACCTATCTCTTCCCTCTCATTCTAAACGACGGGCAGCCACACGATCGAAACCGACGGGAATCAACTCCCAAAATCAAGGTAAGGGTTTCTCTGATGCAAATGTTGGTCTGGTTACTGAATTTAGTTGGTCTGATGCAAAATTAAGGATGAATTGATTTAATTAATTTACTGAATTTAGTTGGTCTGATGCAAATCTGGGTTTTAGTTCTTAAGCTTCACTGGGTTTGGTCAACTGCCAACCTATCTAAGCTTTGTAATGCACTCTTTCATATTAGATAACAGTATCTTTTTGTTTATTTTCAGTTGATTCAGTCACGCATTGGTTTGCAACAACCGTACTTGGTTTGCCTCGTATTCAGTCACGCATTTAGTCACGCATTTGTTCAAAAGATAACTCAAGGTTGATCCAGTATAAGGTTATCCAATGATTCCAATCTGGTTTCTCATATGATTTTATTTTTGCTTAGCTGATTTACGCGTGTTATTAATTCACCTTTCCTTTTTTCGCTTTTCTACTCTTTATTTTCTGTCACCTTTTAACATACCTGAAAATGATATGAATGCATACTTCAATTTTCAAGGGCAAAAGTTTCTAGCAAAAGTTAGTCTTCACAAGGTACTTGCAGATTCAATATTTTGCTAATGCATTTTAATTGATCAACGTATAAATAGATGCCTTCGCAACATGCTGCTATCTATTGTTAATACTTTCGACCTGTCGCTTGGATAATGGTTTTGTTCTTCTGGTTCACAGGTAAAAGTCATTTTCTTCTCAAAAACAGGGGTGCGTGCTGCTCCATTCATACGCCAAACTGCTAAAAATTATTGGAGTCATGCTTCTTTTGCATTCGTGCTCTGGTAAGAAGAGGAATTGTCCTTTTGGTTTAATTCTTGAAAGAGTATTGTTCTCCAGGTTCTCCAGATTTTCAAAATATTATGTGACTTGAGTCTAAAATAACACAAACACTACTATTGTGAGTTTAAACTTGAACTATTACTATAAATTGGGTACCGAAAATTATGCATCTTTGATTTCATAGGAACTTATATGCTTTCCAACAGGTTTGAGGTAAAATCTACACCTGCTATAGTGATTTTGAAAGATCCTGGTGTCAAACCTGTTGTGTACCACGATTGTACATATAATTGTTAGTTTGATTGCTCTGG